GACGGGGCGAGCGGGGGGGGAGGAGAGGGGGGGGGGGAGAGGGGGGGGGGGGGGGGGGGGGGGAGAGAGAGAGAGGCCAAGCATGCTGGAGGAGTGTGGCGTGGAGGAGCAGGTCTGGGACCGAGGGTCCCCAGCAGGCAGGAGAAAGAAGAAAACAGGCTGCAGAGGTGTGAGACAGACCCCCTGGCCTGGAGAAGCTACTGGGGGAAGCGGCAGCTCGGGATGCTCAGGGGAGGCCGGGGCAGCACCGCTCTCCCATGCAGGGCAGGGGAGGGATGTGCCTGCTGCAGGGTGGCCTGCCACAGTGCCAACTGCTCCCTACAGCCCCAGAGCTGGGCTGGGCTGTGCGCACCCCAGGGAAATAGGTGCTCACACAACTCAGGGGCACTGCGGGTCCAGGGAGCCAGGGCAGTGGGGTAGCACACTCCCCTCTCCATGGGGAGATGGGGACAGCCTGTGTGCTAGGGCTAAGGGAAGGCACTGACAGAGTCCCCTGGTCCTGCACATGGGAGCCTGCCAGTGTGCAGTGGGGAAGTTGCCTCCCAACTATTCAGGGAGGACTGATGCCAGGCTGGGCTGCCCCACGGCAGGGCTGCCCCACAGCAGGGCTCCTGGCAGCTGGCTCTGCGGGATCCTGGGCAGCACCGTCTGCCCACCCTGGCCAGCAGCTTCCTCACCTCAATGACGTTGGAGTCCTTGAAGCCTGGGATGCGCTCATCCTTGCAGATGACACCCGCATCTTCCTCATGGCTGCAGTCGCTGTTCCCCCAGCCCCGGTGTTTGCAGTCCCCAATGCTCTTCTCACCTCCTGCACAATTCACATTGTCCAGCCAGATCCGCCCTGCCAGACACCAGGGCCAGGGATGAGGAGGGGCCAAGTCCATGCAGCATCCCCCAGGAGCAGGGAAGGTGCCCGCGGAGCACAGCCAGGGACCATGCAGGTGTACAGCAGGAGCGTGGATGTTTGGCTGGGGGCAGCCCTCCCTCAGCACAAAGCTGAGGCCAGCGAAATGCCAAGAGTAAAGCCCTGAGTGGGGGATCTGCAGATGGGGACTTCCCACCTCCCCAAGGGGCTGCTCTGCCAGACATAAAGCCCCCATGTAACATGCGCCCCAGGGTCTGTACAGCATCTCACCTGCAGCACAGCCCTCTACACCTCTGCACCACACGCCCACACCAGCCTGGACCCGCAGCCCCCCTATACCACCCAGGGGCATGCACAGCCCTGCTGCTGTAGTGCATGCCTGCAACCACCCTATGCCCTGGATAAATGCACAGCCGCTCATACACAAACACGCAGGGTTGTCCAGCCCGCTTTGCATGTGCATATAATGTGCATGTGCACACACACATGCACACACACACACTGTCAGGGACTCAGCAAACACAAGACCTGCCTGCCCCCGCCCTCCCACCAGTGCATGCAAACCTGCTGTGGCACACACACCATCCCATGGCAGCAGGCTGATGTGCAGCCACAGACAGGTTGGCCCCAGCCCATGCAGTATGGTGGGGCGGGGCCACCCCACCTCTCCTTCCCGCCTCTCTTACCAACGCCTTTGCCGTACTTGGCGCTGTGGGCCCAGCCAGTGGCAGCCACAAAGCCGAGGTGCCGGCACAGCACATGTGCATTGGCCAGCGTGAAGTCGTCGTCACAGATGGTGCCCCACTCATCGTTGTAGAAGACCTCAACACGACCCTCGTTGTGCTTGCGTGGGTAGCCAGCCAGGCGAAACTTCAGCTGGGGCCCAGGGGTGTGCGTGGGGCCCAGGGGGGTGGGCTGGGCACTGCCCACCCACAGCCACATGCTGCTCAGCAGCACCAGCAGCTCCTGCCATGTCCACGTGCTGCAGCTTCCCATGGCAGCTTGGCTCTGCAAGGGCAGAAAGGGTCAGGGTATGCAGGATGGACTAGCTGTGCTGAAACACCAGCTCCCCCGATCCAGACCCATGTTGGTTAAACCCCCCCTGCTCACATGCAGCTCCACTCAGCACCAGCACACCCACACGTCTCATCCCTGGCCAGAGCCACCCCGCTCTCGCTGCCCACCCGGTGCCTCCCGCACGCAGCCCCCTGCACCAGCCCTGCACCCCCAGGGCTGCCATCGGTCAGGGCTCTGCCCAGTGCCTCCCTGGCACCTCGCACCCCTCCGCGAATGGCTGCTACTGAAATCCCACCACGCCGCTGGGTCGCATCTCCTGTGCCAAAGGGCAGTGACGGCAGACAGGCAAAGGGGTGTGCGTCACCCCTAGGAGAGGCAGCCGGAAAGGAGGGGGATCGGTTGCCAGAGCAGAAGGAGGTGGAACAGGACCAGGGCCCAGGGAAAGCCTGGCTGGACCGTCCAGGAGCTTGATCCACCACAAGCAGAGCAATGGCTGCTGGCCGTGAGGGGCTGCCAGCTCACGCTCAGAGCCTTTCACATTCCTCTGTGCGGCATTTCTCCAGCCCTCCAATAACATCTGTGGCTCCCTGAATACCTGAGGGAGATGTGGTATTCCTGCACCAGCCCCATCAGCAAACAATGGTGAAAACACTTCTCTGTGAACCACATTCCTGTGCACTATTCTCATTTATCCCGTAAGGGACCACTTTAACCCTGTGGGTGCCGCAGCCGCCCAGGGACAGCGTTTCTGCGCGGGTGGTGTCAGCCCTGCTCCAGGCTGGGCTCGCCATGCTTTTGATGGCAAAACTCCAATGCTCACGCAGCACTGCCAGCATGGCGACCCACCTGCCTCCCGCCACCGCAGCCTCACATCACCCTTCCAGCCAGTCCCTTCCATAGGCAGGGAAGCACACCCCCAAGCCTGGGAGCCCCCCCGGGACAGGCCCACCAGAAATATGTCTCTGTGCCCTACATGCCCCACCCTGAGAGCAGATCCTGCATGCCGCACTCACACAGATTGTCCTTGTCATTAGACAACGTTAAAAAGAATAAGGTCTGGCTTACCCACAAGTAGGGGTGATTTAAAACTCCAGTGTTTAGCTACAGGGTTACAGAAGAAGGAAAACAAATGCAAACCCCACACATGCTCCCAGCGTGGGGCTGTGCCGCAGGGACCCTTCTCGCAGACCCTTCCCATGGTGCCAGCCATCCTCTTTAGCCAGCACACTTCCCTGCGAGCCTTCATGGCTGCTCTCTCACGGTTTGCTGCCTACGTGAGTAGGCAATACCAGTTGGTGGTATTGCAAACTGGCAATACGCCAGTTTGGTGGTATTGCAAGGGTGTATCAGGGCATCCTCGAGAACCGCAGCTGCTCTTTAGGTGCTGTGCTGTAGAAGCCCCTTTCCCCGGACTAAGGCCGGTCCATGTGTTGCCCCTTTGCTCCTGGAGTCTCGGCACCTGTGGGGTGACAGTAGGGTCCCTGCAGTGACTTTGGGAAGGGGGTCCTCACAGAGCGAAGGAGCCAGGGAGTCCCCCCTCAGGCAGCACAGCCTCTCCAGGGCCTCGCTGTCAGCCTGGCCACCAGCACAGGGCTGGGGGCTGGCATGGCCGACCCACCGCCCTGCTAGCCCCCTGGGGCAGTGTTTCTGCAGAGGCTCTGCTAGCAGGAATTGGCCCTGTTCCTGCTCTGTTCACTTTTCCAGATGATGGAGGCCAGGTCACCCCTCCAGTCTCTGGGAATGCCTCCTGGACCCAAGGCAAGGACGAACCAGGACAGTGCCCAGAGACAACCCCTTTTCCATGGCCATCACACCGAAAAAAAAACCCTGAAGGGCACCAGCCCTGCTGCCTACCCCTTCAGGCATGCACCATGTCAAAGGTGCCACCAAGAGCAGCGAGTTCCTTGGAATAAGTGCCTGGTGCCCGCAGGGATGCTCAGGGAGTGAGGGTGAGGGGTTAACAAGGACCAACAACACCGGTGCAGGCCAATGCAAGACATCGTGGCAGGAAGCACACCAATGCCCTTGGGGCAATCACATCAGCACCGGGTCCCTCCTCTATCACAGCCTGGGGCATGCGGGACACCACAGTGCTGATGGAGATTCAGCAGTAGGCAGGA